AATTATGCATTTATAAAGACCAATTTAAGCAAGAATCTACATTTTGCCATCTTAAAATCTTAAACAGTTGTACATAATGTGGCCATTAATCTGTAGGGCCCTGTCTTCCCTGTTCCTTGAGGCCGAAGCACAGGATGCAAGAATTGTTTACACTAACCAGCTTAGCTTCCTCTGCTCATTCTGTCAGCTGGAGGGAATTAGTTCAAAGCCTTGTTTCTGTCATTGCTATGATAATTTCACCTGCTAAGGAAGATCCTCACAGGCACCCTAAATCTCCTCCCATCTGTCTGTCAGGGTTCCCAGCTCGTTACCCCCTGCATGGAGGCTCAGGCCACTGGTGCCAGGCAGTCAACCCTATGATCTCACTCCCAGGTGGGAGGGGGGCTCTCATCCTCTTGCCTCCAAGTATATAAGCCTATGTGTGCTGAATAAAGATTGACATTTACCTTTTGGGTGAATGATCCGATCTCTCTGTGTGTTTGTGTGTCCGTTCAACTCCTAGGATATTGATCCAGATGCGTGGCCTGGTACAGGAGGTGCGCCCTGTGCCAGGAGAGTGAGGTTTCACAGAAAAGTGCGAGCAGCATTAATCTTTATTGTAACTTGAGGAAATTTGAAACTAACATATAAACAAATTTCTGGGCAAGCCTCTGTGGAATCTCCTAGATTAGACTGAGGTGAGAAAATGCTGCATGTGGGTGGCAATGTTTCAACAGCTAGGTACCCATAGTGGGGGAAGTGGATAGAGGAGGAAGGGGCAGAGAAGCAGCATTCATCACTCTACTTCCTGACTGTGAAGGAAACTGGAGTCAAGATAAACCATTTTGTCTCCAGGTGCTTTTGTTAGGGGTTCTATTACAGCAGGAGAACAGTGAGTAATATTTCTGTGAATGGTTCAGTAACAACTGTAGAGGATGCTCTCTACTTATTATAATGTGGACAGAATATGCCTGCAGTCATATATGTATGCACATAAAATTTTCATTTACCTTGTTAAAAACATTTAATACTAAGCCACTTTCCTTGAGCAATCTTTGCTTCAAAGTCAAGAATGAGGTAGCTGGTGATTTTCATTTACTGACATAGTGAGCAGTGAAGCTGAGGGTGAACTTTCTGTGAACAGGTATCCCAGTGACATAGCACATTCAGAAAAAAAGCTCAAAAAAGATGTATAAAATATATAAGGTCAAGAAACATAAAAATTAATTAGATTATCACTTCAAAATGCCTTCTTTTTTAGGCTTAACTAGAATTAGCAATTGTTCCTTTAGATTCCTCTTTTTCAACATTTATATGTATACATAGCTTGAAATTATGAGATGTTAATTGAAATTTTCTAAATATATATGTATTTATTTATATTATATAGAATATATACATATAGCTAGAGAAACTGTCAATTTATAAATCATTCAATTATGTTCATTTGTATTGTTCTCCCTTTGCCTCTAAACTTAGACAAAGGATAGTTTTTCTGTACCCAAAAAGATTTTCAACTAGTGTTTATTTATTGCATTTTAGGTAGAATTTTCTTTTGATGGATTATATTTGCTTTTTCCAGTAAATATGCATTTATTTTGCCTTTCTTCTTACAGTGTACGGCTGATCATATTAATAAAAGCAATGTACATACAATTAACTCAGTTTTATATTTTAGTATAATGCACTAGTCCTTCCTGGGTGAGAAATTCTGTGATAGAAGCCATGTTACAACTTTATCCCATGCTAGATTCTTCTTTTCCTGTTGCTGTGTTGTCACCTGGTGACATAAAGACTCATCCTTTGAGCCTTTCTATTGTTACTGCTGGTGTTTTCTTTTCATAGGCTTCATTAGTACTGCTGCTTTTACTTTACCAAGATGTCCTTGCAATTTGGTTTCTTCTGCTTCAAGATTATAAAGTTTTTTATGTATGAATCCATTCCTCTGATTGCAATTCTACTTTTAGTCTCTAGACTAAGATAGCTGGGCAGCAGGGAATCATCAAGCATCCTCTTTTCTCCAACAGTGGTGCAAGATTCTCAGAAGAGGTGAGCAGCTCTACCATGGGGTTCTGGGCAAAGCATTTATTCCCATATTTCCCCTAGCAATGGTGCAGCTTAAGTTTTCAAAAGCTCTTAGCATCTTAAAAAGCTTTCCTAGACAGTAAAAAATTAGAGATATACAATAAAGACAAATTCAGGTTTAAAAAAGACCTTTAAATGAGATCAGTGTGTTTTTAAAAAAAATGTACTTGGGCTTTGGAGAGAGCAGAAAAATAGTATAATTATAAAAATAGGTAAATGATTTATAAAAAATTAAAACAAAGTTTTTAAAAAGACAGAGTACAAAAAAGTAATAGAGTAAAATAAATAAGCCACTTAAAGACAAAACTTCACAGATAGTCTGGATTTTGTATATCATTGTCTTTTCTTTGAACTTTTTGACTGTAAAGGAGCTAAGAACAGAAAGACATTTCATTGTGTGGCCTACTAAGCTAAACCAGTATGCATATTATAACGGTATGTTGACTTCAGAATTTAAGTCTAAGGATATGTTGCTTTGAAATTAAGGTTCTTCTTTTGTTTCCACAGAAGATGAGAACTTATGAAATCCTTTTAGACTAATTTGGTTTGATGGATCCAGACCATATGAAAAGTTGCCTTAAACACACCTCAAATATTTCTTTGCCCACTAAACAGCAGGAAGTAGTTTGGACAGAACTATGCCCTTATTCCCAAATATTGTTTCTAAATGTTTCTTTATATTTAATGGGGATATGCTATAGAAACTTGCATTAGTATAGATCTTTGTTTATTGATACAAATTTAAAGGCAATTTTGTTATGCTCTATATATGTATTTCTGTTTTTTTTAATTAATTTATTCATTTATTAAAAATTTCCACCTCATTCCAGCTTCCCTTGTCCCTCCCCTACCCAACTCCCCCTCCCTTTCTAGTCCTAAGAGCAGTCAGGTTTCCATGCCCCGTGGGAAGTCCAAGATCTTCCTCCCTCCATTTAGGTCTATAAAGGTAAGCATCTAAATAGACCAGGTCTATAAAGGTAAGCATCTAAACAGACAAAGTCAGTCCATGCTGTAGAATCAAAACCCAGTGTCATTGTCCTTGGCTTCTCAGTCAGCCTTCATTGCCAGTCACATTCAAAGTGTCAAGTTTGATCACATGCTCCATCTTGATTAAGGTATTGTGTTTGTCCATCTCATTTAAAAATGTAATGTATTATTAAGAAATATAGGTTAATAGATAATCATTTATAAAAGTCAAGCTTATAATCATGTTAGTTAGGTTTTCTAGATATATAGAGATATATTTCAGTTAGGTTTTCTTCAAATCTTTCAAAGACCTTCAGAATATGGCATTTAAAATGTTTTATAAATTTAGGACATTTCATAACAATGAGATACATCTGCTCCTGGTAGCACCAGCTACTTCAAGGAGATGATGGAGATCAAAGAGACTCCTTATGGAGTTGGTTAGTCATTTGGGCAAGAAACTGCTCTTTCCTGGACTGCTTGATAAACTGGACATGCAGTACCTGCAGTGAAATGACTTGCCTAAAAATGAGACGATACTTTGGGACTCCTGCTACATGAAAGAGTCTGCTAGACAGTCTGCAGGACATAGAAAAATGTGATGGACGAACTGCCAATGTAGGTGGAACAGTCTTTGAAACTTCATGCTTCATGGAGAAGTCAGCTGCATACTATGGGATGTAGGCTGAAGATGAATGCCCCAATGGTACAGGGGAACTTTGGGTGACTGTACAGGAAGTGAGATATTTCTGTCAATTCTAAAATTTTGGAAGTTTCTTGCAATGCACTTTCTGTTTACCTAAGTAATATCATATCCTTCTAGAGTCTTTGATGGAGTTGAAGAATAGTTATACTTTTCCTTAATTATGATAAAAAATAAAGCACATATAAATGTTGTAACTGTAATTCTTGCTTGATAACTGTTTTGTTATATACAATTTTACTATGTTAAAGTTAAAACCTTCCTTTTTGTTTAAACAGAAAAGAAGAAATAATGTGGAAGATCCTTCTGTCTGTTTGTTGCTTTAATTGGTTAATAAATAAAGAACTGCTTTATTTATTATAAATAATAAATAAAGAGCCTATGGCAGAGAAGAACAGAACTAGGCAGGGAAAGCTAGACTGTATGATGGGAAAAAGAAGTGTGGAAGTAGAGAGAAGCCATGCAGCCTCCATCGGAGAGAGATGGAACTTTAGAAGGTAACCCACAGCCTTGTGGTGATCCACAGATTTATAAAAATGGGTTAAATTAATATGTAAGAGCCAATAAAAAGCTAGAGCAAATGGGCCAAGCAAAGATTTAGTTAATATAGTTTCTGTGTGATTATTTCAGGACTAAGTGGCTAGGATCCAGCAAATGGCACTATGTTACACATCTTGAGTGACATTAATGAAAACTCTGAAGTACTGTTTAAACACTGGATTCAGCAAAGCCCATGCAGGTTCACTTGTAAAAGGATATGTTTTACAAGACACAACAGCAGTCACCGGGAATGTTAAATGTTTAAAAGGCCACTTTGACTAAATAAAATATCTAGAGTTGTTTAAGGGAACTGCACAAAACTACATACTTTCACATAGATCTCCATATGTGGGACAAGGAGAATGGGATTGAGATTTTTGTAAGTCTTCTCAATTTATGCTTTATCAGAACTACATATAAGATATAGAATTATAAGTGTTGCTGGATTTCTGTATGGGGAAAAGGAACATTTTATCCTTAAATTTCTATTACCCCTTCTTGGCATTTGGGAGTTACCACAGTGCCAGGTCTCAATACTGGAACACCATGAACACTGACAAGGACAATTCATCTTTGTTTATCAAATGCCAAGAAAGGAAGAACCTTTTTCTACCTAGTTCTGGCTGAAGCTATGACCACATCCCTATCTAGTCATTCAGAGAACATATTTTTCTATTACATTGATGAGTGGGTAGAAGTCAATGAAAGGTGTGAGTCTCAGTCTTACCTCTTCTCCAAGCCTTACTGCTCCTCTTTCCTGGCTGCTCCAACCTTGGTCCATCAAGGCTGAAAATGCTAAAAGACAGGAACTGCTTGATTTTCTCCAGGATTTCAGATTCATCTTTTCTTTTGACTTCTGAAGCTTTCTCAGCCATTCTAATTGGAGCAATTGTATGTTTGATAGCAACACATAAATTTTCCCTGCCCTTTTTTTTTTGTTGTTGTTTTGTTTTACTCTGAAATGTAATTCTCATGTAATCTAGTGTGCTATGTTGGATGAAATGGTAATTATTTTTCTACCAGAAAAAAAGCACAATATTTAGGAAAGAACTTGATTGGTTCCTAGATAATAGATTGTACTAGTTTGTATATGTTTAGTTTTGCACAGTTTGGTAAGTTGTCCTCCTAAGTAGCAATCAAATTCTGAACATTGTCATCCTCTCATACTGTCGTTTTTCTAGGCTTTACACTCAGATCTATATTGAAGGTAAGGTCTCTGAAGATCTGAGCCTGTTCTTTTTCACCTATAACCATCACAGAATTTTTGATCAATTTCAGGTCAAAAGTTGCCAGTCACCACACTTCGTCATTCGTCCAACATGAAGTTTCATACTTTTATTTAAATCTCCCAGGTGGGTTTAAATCAACATAAAGATTACTTGTATCCAAATAATAGTCACTGTGTCTGGAGATATTAATACTTTGCCCTTCAGAAGCACCTTTATAGGTCATGTTAAAAAAATATTGGCACTAATACTAAATGCAGACAGCAGGGGCAAGTTAGTTTGTGTTTAATGACGCATTTTCTGTTAGAGATGGAAGTCGAATCTGACACTTGCTTCTGATTCAAATTTCCATCTCCCAAACATCTTTTCTAATCTTATTAGTAGGTACAGAGAAGTGAAATTAATTAATTAATGAAAAAGTTTTTAATTCATATTTTCATGTGCATAGAGAAATCCAAGGAGATCAGGCTACACAGATGCTGGACAGCCATGCCAGGAGATAGTGCATGCAGGTGATAGAGCATCCAGGTGATAGAACATGTAGGTAATAGAACATCCATGTTATAGACCATCCAGGTGATAGAGACTCTAGGGAGATAAGACAGCAGGCAGGTAGCCGATGAACCCTGGCAGTTTGGTGAGTATGAATGGAGACAGTGTCCTATGCTCCAGTATCAATTGGCCGTGGAAGCAGTGTGTTGTCAGATGAGGTCACAGGTACCAAAAACACTTGTCATGACTCTCACATTTAAAGGAGTGGGTCAGGAAAGGGGAAGCAGGTGAGACAATGGCTGTTGGTTGGTGGGGGCCAAGAGGAATGTTCAGAGATAAAATCTACCTTGAGGGGTAAGAAATGCTTTCAGTTAGATAAGGGTGGTGATTGCACAACATTGTGCCTGTAGGAAAGGCTGATGAACAGATGACATCAAAACATTTAATGTAATGATCATAAATTTTCATCCTGTAAACTATATCAATTTCATCTTTTTAAATTATTTTTAAAGTAACAGAGTTAGTGGCTGGGGAGATTAGGTAAAGCTTCTTCCATGCAAGTATGGGAGTCTCAGCTTGGATCCCCCAAACCAGACAGCAATATGCATCCATAACCCAACTTTTAGTATGGCAGGATGGCAGGTGGAAACAGATGAGCTGCCAGTTCACAAGCCAGCTAACCTAAAATACACAAGATAAAACAAGAGATCCTTCCACAAAAAGACAAAAGGTAAAAGGGAATATCCATCCTCTGGCTGACACACATGTACCAAACACACAATTACACATAAACACAAGCACACATGCACACACACACACACACACACACACACACACACACACACACGTGATGTAGGAAGTTGTAATTATGAAAGGGAACTTCAAAGATCCCTATTTGTGACCATGTGTTGAAATTTGGGGTCTTATTAAACAGGGTACATGTGACCCATTAAAAGGATGTCAGACACTGTAACATTGAGGATTTTACAGACACCAGAAACATGCTTCTGCTTTATAATTAAATATGCTAACAAACTGAGCCAGCCACAGATACCTGTGGAGATCTGATTTTGATACCATTTCAGATGTTCTTCTTCAATGATTCTGCAGCTCTTAGATGCCACTGGCATATGCTGAATAGCCCTTCCAGGATGGTCCACAGGGCCAGCTTTTGTGCACTTTTCTTGTTTTTCAACATTTTCTGAAGATACAATTTCCCTCAAGTTTTCCTTGCTTCAAAGACTAAACCCAAAGTGGGTGTTAATTCAAAATGTCTCTAAGCTATCCTGATTACTCACCATAAGGGTTTAAACAGAGTTCTGACAGTTAGGCTTCATTTCTCCCTGGCAGGAGTCTATAGTAGCTCACAATACAGAAAAACTCAAAAAATAGACTTAAAGCACTTTAGAAACTAATGATGTATAAATAGAGAAAACAGTTTGTCTTGGGCAATTGCATCGTGGTTCTTCCAGTACCCAGGATTCAAAGTCTTTCTCAACCAAATGGAGATACTCTGCCAGAAAACAACTTACCATCAAAAACACAGCGGTGCATTCATGTGTGTTTCTTCTGCATGAAAACCATTTCCTCGGATTCAAGGGTCATTACCTTCATAAGCACAGAATCTACTAAAGTGATCTGTGAACACTCCAAAATCTTTATCCAAAGAAGTTGGTTTCCAGAGTTCAAAGCCTTGGAAGGGCTCTGGTAAGTACATTTTGCTTTAACATCCTGCTGTTGTTTCAGTTATGAACTGAGCTCTGCAATCTAACTCCTGCAAAGTATAAACACCTAAGAAGCACTTTGCTGATGCCCAAACATGTTTGAGTATTCAATGTTCTGTCAGACTCATTTCTGCACCACAGAACTATGAATTCTTCATTCCTTGCTACTTGACTAAAGCACACCGGTAGAGGAACTGAAATAGACAGCAGGGGCCTAACTTCTCTCAATTACTATTTGAATCAGTCCAAAACTGATCCTAATTGAAGTGTTTATTATGTGCCTCCAAATCTGGACTGCCTTTGATCATATGAGTGGAAAATTTATCTTGGTCAGCATGTAGAAAAAGGCTACCGAATGCCACCCTGATAAAGGACAAAGAATTTTCCCACGGGGCAGGGAACCCTGGACACAAAGTCCTAACCCCACCAAGAAGCTATTTAAAATAGATAGCTTCTGGAAAAATCCATTTTCTCCAATGGAGCTTCCCTGGGTATATGAATTACACACCAAGGCAGTGCCCATGCCCAGGAGTAAACTGGTCAACACAAAATGGACTCCATTCTTCTTTTTTAGCTTTGGTATTGTCTTTTGTTTTTTGTTTGTGTGATTGAGTCATTCATTGATTTTTGGGGAATGGTTGGTTTGGTTTATTTTAAGAGAAATAATATGAGAGCGGGCCTCAGACAGTGAAGTTCATGAGAGTAAAAGCAGATACAAACCGGGGTCATATGGAAGCAGGACTGGGCCAAGGACCTAGGCCACAACAGGCCTGAGGCAGTGAGTTCCAAGGGAGCAAGACTGAACCAGCTACCTAGACTGCTGTAGGCCTGAGAAAGTGAGCTCCATGTGAACAGGAGCAGATCCAGTCTAGGACCATTTGTGAACCAGGATTGAGCCAGCAAACTGGGCCAGAGCAGATCTGAGATAGGAAACATCCACAGGAACAAGTACAGGGTAGCAACTGCTAAGCAAATGAGTCAGAGTGAGAGATCGCTGAAGGTCTGGATGTGAATCTGGGACCTCCAAAGGAGTAGGCAGGAACCAGAGATCTCTGTAGATCCAGTCATGAGTCTGGGACTTCAGAGGGAGTAGGACTGGGTCAGGACCTCTCTGGGTCTGGGCGTTGGTCTGGGATGTCAAAAGGAATAGGCAGGAACCAGAAACCTCTGTGGGTCTGAAATTGAGTCTTGGACCTCCAAGGGAGTAAGCCTGAGCCAGGTCTTCTGCCAGTCTAGGTGCACCCAAGCCTGGGAACTCCGAGGTAATAGATCAGAGCCAGTATCCATTACAGGACAAACCCCCAAACCAGGGACCTCTACAGGAATGGATCCAGACTAGAGACATTTACAAAAGCAAGTCTGAGCCAACAACCTAGGCTACAGCAGGCCTGAGACAGAAAACTTCAAGGATGTGGAGCAAAGCCCAGGAGTACCGAGCAACTTCCAGGAACATGGAATGACCAATGGGGTAAGTAGAACCATGACACTGAATATACCACGACAAACAACCACCTGAGCCTTGGTTTCACTGGCACCGAGAAGATTAAATAACAGAATTACAGGCAGCCCTAACAACACCTATTAGAGGAAAAGGTGAGTAGAAAAAGTAAGAACACAAGCAACACCACAAAGAGAAACATGACACCAGTAAAACCTAAGGACCCTTCAGCAACAAGACTTGAACAACCAAATATAGATGAAGTAGGAAAAAATGACCTGAAAAATGACTTCAGGAGAGTTGTAAAAACTCTTAAAGAGGAAATGAAAATTCTGCTGTGGGACAATGGTCTGTCTCCTGTCAATTATATTTTAAATAAATGTTGATTGGCCAGTAGCCAGACAGGAAGTATAGGTGGGACAACCAGACAGGAATTAGAGGTGGGTCAAGGAGTCAACCTATCTCAGGATCCAGCAATACTCCTCTTGGGAATATACCCAAAAGATGCTCAATTATACTACAAAAGCATTTGTTCAACTATGTTCATTGCAGCATTATTTGTAATAACCAGAACCTGGAAACAACCTAGATGCCCCTCAACAGAAGAATGGATAAAGAAAGTGTGCCACATCTACACATTAGAGTACTACTCAGTGGTTAAAAAAAATTGTCATCTTGAATTTTGCATGCAAATGGATGAAAGGAGAAAACACTATCCTGAGTGAGATAACCCAGACCCCAAAATATGAATGTGATATGTATTCACTCATTAGTGGATACTAGACATAAACAACAGACTTTGAGCCTACAGTTCATGATCCTGTTAAGTAATAAGGTAAACCCAAAGAAAAACATATATAAAACCACCTGGAAACTGGAAGCAGACAAGATTGCCCAACAAAATTTGAGAGCATGGGGTTGAGGGGTAGAAGGAAGGGGAGAAAGGGAAAAGGAGAAGAGAAGGGGAGAGTTGGGGGAACTTGAGGGGGTGGGAT